GTTATGAAAATGTACTTGTGCTGCCTGATCCMCAGCAGTACATCGAAAATGTCCGTTTGAGTCTTCGGCCCAATGTGCATAAGATCATTGAGAGAGATACCGGATGAAGACTTGGCTGAACCGTTAAATACCACCCGCAGTTTAGTGGAGGAACTTTGCTCGCGCCAAACTCCGTGATGCAGGAGATAAAACGCCTGAGATGGCTCAGGAGCATCGAGAGAAACAGGAACCATATGTCCTAAAGACGTATATTCTTTAAGGAAATCAGTGTAGGTCTCCTTGAAATGCCTATCGGTTTCGAATTTCTGGAGAAGTCTTTCAAGGCATCTCAAGGCAAGAGACCTTGAATGCCTTAAGGTGGATATGTCTTTCGAGAATGGCAGACGAACCATGTAACGACCAGTTGGCAATCGAGAGTGCGTATCAACAAAGTGCTGCTCGCATTGCGATTCAGCGAGACTCAAGGTTGACGCAAGGGAAGATGAGACTTCTTCCTGAACCCAGAATTTTGTAAGAACTTTGTCAAGAGAATCGTTAGAGATGGCATGGCAAATTTTGAGAGGATCGACCTTGCTCGGGCTGGAAGTTGCGCCTAGAACTGCCCAACCGAACCTCGTGTGGAAGGCTATAGGTTCTGAGTCGCCTCCCATAACAAGGCGAGAGGACTTGAGAACTCGTCTGAGATTATCAGCACTAATGAGAATGTCAATGTGATCTGGAGTGAGAAAGTCAGGATCCGCTAATTTAAGAGATCTGAGATGAGGCCAATCTTGCTCTGATATTACAGACGACGGCAACTGAGATGTGAYTTTTGGCAAAATGAATGCCTTAAGAAGAACGTGAGATGACGAGTATGTCGATTGGAGGACCAAGGACACTTGACCTTGGGTCGCTCCTGGAGATGTACTACCCACACCTTGAATAGGAATGTTTCCTGGAGAACGGCTAAGCTTTGGCTTAGCTATGATTTTAGAAGAAACTAAAGTCAACTCTGATCCAGGATCAATGAGAAGACGTACTAACTTAGGCTATCCATTTAAAGATATGGCAAAAGCTTTACAAGTAGCTGAGAGTACTGGAGCACGAGAGCACGTTGAAAGCGATGGATTAGACGAACGATCGATATCTGAGATAGGTGACGAAAATCTGACTCGCTTGATCGTCTGAGAGGACCTTGAGGAAGATGAGATGGTCGATTTTAAAATGGATCTGAGAGGACRATGWGGGTAATGAGAYGTCYTACCTACTCCTCATTCTGAGGACGACTTTTTTGAAGAGTTCTGAGAAGAACTCTTCTTGGTAGGTATGGGCTTAGTAGGAGATGATCGAGATGAAGATGACTTGTGAGAGGAGTCATGAACAGGAGCCTTCGGCTTGGAGAGGGGTTTGGGAGTCGACGTACCGGAAGTGGATGATGATGACTTCGGACTAGAGGATCGGCGATGAGATGACTTTCGAACCGAAGATTTCCGACGATCCTCTCTCGGTGACTCATCCGACAATACCCGTGAGCCCTGCGAGGACAAGACTCTCTGAGATGTCTGTGTTGTCTCTGAGAGAGAGCTTGAAGTCCTTGAGATTGGCAGCGATGATCTTGATGTAGGAGGAGTTGTCCTAGACGATGTAGGAAGAGATGTCCTTGATATAGGAGGAGATGTCCTAGACGATGGAGGAGATGTCCTTTTCTCGGGATGGATGAGCGTGTGGTGCCGATCTCCACATTCGTTGCATCGTCTATTACTCCTGCACTGCCTAACGTTATGCCTGCCTAGGCAGTTGTAGCACAGGCGAGATTCTGCAACGACCTTCTCCTTCTTCTGCTGATTAAGACACTTGAATAGAGGACAGAAAGCGATGTAGTGCCTGTGACTAAAATAGCTGCAAGTATTAGAGAGGTCGGTGATAAATGGCATAGGATTTTTTTTGATTGGCTTTTTATCCACTGCCAACTGAGATGATCCGGGAGACTCAGATGTCGTTGCAGGCGTAGTAGCAGCAGCCTTTACGTTTAAGGCCCTAGCGTAGGACCTTGTGGGGGATGATTTGGGCTGTTGAGATGTTCTTTTGCCTTCCCCGTAAGACCTACGAGTCTCGATATGCTCCAATGCTCTAGCTGTGCTAGTGAGATGACTTATTAGTTTTTCTAGTTGTGGGAACTCGCGTGATGTTCCCAATCTTGTTTCCTAGTCCTCGCGAGTTTTGTCATCTAATGCTWATCCCACCTGATGGACTAGGATGCGATCCCATTGATCAACCGGGCATCCTAATGTCTCTAGAGCACTTAGAGATGACGGATCCAGATGACCTTTCCTTGATGCGAGAAAGTGCCATCAGCCTATCGAGATGAGCGAGAATTAATAAGCGTTTGTTGTCAAACCTGTCCAACAACCTATTCCATGCGATAGCGAAGGAATCAGCAGATAAGTTTAGATTTGATATCACTTTAGCCGCCTCTCCCTCCAAGCTGGTCCTCAGGTAATGCAACTTCTCAACCTGTGAGAGGTCTGGGTTATCTTTGATCATTGAGGAAAATAATTCCTCAAAGGGTCTCCAGTCTGAGAAGGCACCTGAGAACYTCGGYAATRAGATGTTCGGAAGTACCGTCCTTGAACGAGATTGTGTCTSAGATATGACTGGCGGTACCTGTTAAGAAAGCTCTTCTTTACGCTGGTTTAGTAGCGTAACTCCGGCTAGATATGTCTGCATGGTTGAATCATAACRATTGTCTTKAAAGTACGACTGTTCCATTRYCGTTTCTCGAGATGACGATACTATTCGGTCGTGTTCAGCATCGAACTTTGACCACGCTGTTCGAAGCAGTTCCCTTGTGTCGACCGCGGTTGAGAGGTTCATTGAGTGAATGTCCTTAGCATTGGCCGTCAGAGTTGTGATGGTGCCAGCTCGCGCATCCTGCAGCGCTAGTCTAGCTGCCATGTTGAGGTAGGATTACGGTTGCTAAGCGAGACTATGATGTAGTAGTGGGGCCGCCCCCACTACTTCCTGAGATGATGAGGCGCTCGCTACACTCCCCGTGAGTGGGGAGATGACGATAATTCCCGAGTGCCAGTTTCCCACGCCACCTAGATTTTCCCTAGTAAACTAGAGACGCCACAACCAAACGAGCACTCGACGCAGCACTATCACCCTCGGCTTTGAGAAGCCCACTATATAATGATATGTCTGAACTATGAGATGCGATACAMACCGCAGTTCAAATTGCGCTCACGGTCCCTTGAACTGATTTTTCTGTCGCAGCACAACGTCCAGGGTGCTCAGCAATGCGACAGGGGTGTGCACGACACATTTCACAAACTTTTAATCCTGTTACACTTACACAAAAAGCCTCTATATCCGGCTCGAAAGACCAAAAAATGTTCAAGTAATTACTAGTTTAGAAAGAGATGCGCTAAGAGAAAAATAGGAGATTAGCGAGATAGGCTAGTGGACTGTATTATGTTAATTTTTGGTAAAGTTTGTGTGTAACAAGATTTATTAAAATATGTGAACCACAAAATGAAGATAACAAAATTATAGTATGATTTAATAAATAGTAATGGACAGACTACGCCACGTGTACCGGATATCACGCCACGTGTACCAGAAGTACGTAGTACGAGAAGCCGTTAGAAAATGTAGTTATAAATTTAGTATGAGAATAGATAGAAATAATAAAACGAACAATACTAAAATGAGAGGTCAAAAAGTATAAAGAGAAGATCAGAATTAGAGATAAAAGGCTAAGAGATAACCTGATAAGTCATTAATGATAGAGAGTATAAAGAGATGATCAGTAAGAAAGACACAACACAAGGATGGCCTAGATGAGAAAGAACAAGAGTAAGATGAGATTAAACGTAGAGAGATGAGAATAAAGCGAGATGAAGACTATGAGATGATGCACAATTCTTTGAAATTTCTAAATGTACGTCCGCACAGATTAACTTGTTAAACGATTTTGACTGGATTAAGCCACTATTTTGTTCGAGTTGAGGAACAGAGCGGAGGTGGAAAAAGGACAATACACCAATTAGCGCGTTCCACGCTAGGAAGAGAAGACAGAAAACCAATAGGAGACCAATACGCAAAAGATGACGTCACACAGGACCAATGATCTATTTACACGACAAGTAGCGTGATCCCTTGATCAATAAAAACAATCGATATGTCTTCTTCTCGACGATAACAGACAGCGTCTTAATCATGCTAGCCGAAAGGTGCTGCTACCTAGTCTGAGTAGCGCAATTTTCGAACATGTTAGGTACGAAAAAATTTGGCAAAAATCATTTATGTTTGGACTACTGCAGTCCAAGAAAAGAGAAAAATTCATTTTATTACAACTTTTTTTGGTACTTTACGTGTAAAATTTAATTGTTTTTCGACAAAACTCGATTGTAGTCAACCTGACATCCATTCTGTCTTATTTCTAATAGCACATTTTAACCTTCGCTAAAAAATTTTTAATATATTTAAAAAGAAATTTTCGCTTCTTTCTGTATTAAATCGTAGTTAAAAATTATAAAAAATCTAAAAAAGTTTTATAAAACAGAAGCTTTAAGACGTTTATCAAACTTCAAAGCGTATAATTACAAATAAAAGGTTTTATATAAAAAAGCTTGGCAAACATCATTTATATTTGGACTACTGCAGTCAAAAAAAATGAAAAAAATCGTTCTATTACGACTTTTCTTGGTTACTTTTCGTGTAGAAATGAATTCTCTTTCGACGAGACTCGATTGTAGTCAACCTGACATCTATTATATTTGTTTCTAATAGCACATTTTACCGTCGCTAAAAAATTTTTCAATATATTTAGGAAAATTTTCCCTGTTTTCTAGATTAAATAATAGTTGAAAATTATCAGATATCTAAAGAAATGCTATGTAACAAAAGCTATAAAACGTTTTCTTTCAAGTTTTAAAGCGTATACTAACAAATAGAAAGTGTTAGGTCCAATAAAATCTAGTAAATAACATTTATATTTCAACAACTGCAGTCCAAAAAAAGAGAAAAAAATCATTTTATTACACCTTTTGTTTGTTACTTTTACTATAGCTAATACTCCGAGTTCATACTCCGCTTTGGCTATTGTAGCCTTACCACTTGTGTACCCAGGTAACAATGGTCTGACAATACCACTAGATAACTCATGCTTCTCTATCTCTTGCCCCTCCGACGGAGGTAAATATCCGTACCGCCGATAGACTAGCTCCTCCTTTTTACAAATCAAACTTGTTTGAATACCAACGTCACGCGTTTTCACTGGACTGTGATCACAAATCGAGTCTACTACCAATTTTTTATGCTCACTTGACGGAATGTGCGACTTATTTAATTCGTCTTTATCATAGATACAGTCTATCTTTAAAACTTCAACTACCTCTCTTTTGTCCTCTTCGCCTTTTGATGGTTTGTTGATTGATATTTTCTCCCTTCTAATATTAATGTCCACCGCATTTTAAAAATCGGTCCCTATCACAATATCATGCTGCAGTAATGTATCAGGTATTACTGAAATTTTAATTGTGTATTGTTTACCATCAATTTCAATCCCTGTAAAGAATTCCTTTAATGTTTTATTGTCTTTCGATCCTATTCCACGAAATTTATTCTTATTCGGTTTCATTCTAGGCGATCCTACTTGAATGTACTCTGTAGCTCGCATTAAAGATATATCGCTTCCGGTATCGATTAGCGCGTTAATTCTCTGACCATTTATTATTACTTCTTTACAATATTTACTACGCACAGATCGCGAGATACTACATGAATCTTTGTTAGTAGTACGGTTTCCAGAGCAATTAACCGCGATATGTCCAAACTCTCTACATTCAAAACACTTCGTACCTCTACTCTTATATGGGCATTCCTCGCTAAAATGACCCCTCGCACCGCAATTTTTACACCTCAAACAGTTTTCTAATACGCTACCTATCTTTTCTCTAACGCTTACGTCTATGTTGCTTCGACACGTCGTCGAGTTGACTATCTCCGTCTGTTCCGGACGTCCCCGCAATGATATATGCTCGAACGCGCTCAGAAAGGATTCCTTCCTTTTATGACCATTCATCCTTGCTTGATCTTGTAGCGATTGATCTATTATTCCAGCAATGACGAATTCGATCATTTCTTCCTCGTCGATCTCTATCCGGTTCGCTAAAATAATCTTCTCATGGAAGTAATCGCTAAAAGACTCGTCACGCTTCCAAACACGTTCCTGGAACCTCGTTCGCAAGGACATCTTTCTGATTCGCTGATGGAACATTTTTCGCTACCCAACTAAAAGTTCATCCACTGTGAGATGCAGGTACTCTCTCCGCGATCTAAATCAATCTAACGCTCGCCCATTTAAACGCTGTACGATCATCACTTTCGCCTGGTCTTCGGTCAAATGATACATGTAACGCAGGTAGTTTACATGGTCATCCCATATTGTAAACTCATCTGCCTCCCCTTCAAAGTATCCTATTAATTCGATAACAGCTTTTAACGATAGTTTATTTATCTTCGTTTGCACAGGTGGCCGGTTCATCTCTTCCAACCCGTACGATTGACCAATAGCAGGACTTTGTGTCCTTCGCATGATCTCTATTTCCTTCCGCGCTAGTTCCACTTCCCGTTCCGCTATCTCTTTCTCTTTACGAAAGATTTCCATCTCTCGTCTTAAAAGCGCAAGCTCATCTATACTCTCCCTCGCCACGGCTACAGTTGCGTTCCGCGTTTCTTCGACATCCCTCTTTGCAATACTGTCTCCTATCAACCAATTTTCCGATTGATCAGCTTCCATAAGGCGGGCTATCAACTCGCTTTTAACACCAGTCGTGGCAAGTCCCAAAGCTGCCAAGTTCTCCTTCAATTCCGATACTAAAAATTCCGAAGACGCTTTACGTACGTCGCTTATGATTTTTTTTTTCTTCTATCCTGTTTCGCACACACGACTCTCTGTCACGCTGCTCATTCTTCACTATCGCAAAAGTTCTCACCAATTAACTATCGCAAAAGTTCACACCAATTCACTATTGCAAAACTTCACACAAACTCGCTATCGCAGTATTCGTTGTTACTTTTCCGCAATCCTACTCTTCGCACGCTGTAGCTCCTCAATCCCAGCTGAGCCCCCAATTTTGTAGGATTTTTGATGGGAAAAACAGATTTATTACAATTTCTAATGATTATTACAAAACGCAGATCCTCTCACTCACAACGTTCAACACTCACTCTCCTTTATTTCGTCCGCTGACCCCGGTTACTTAAAATCTAACAAACGCTTAGCGCCTTATGCTAACAAGACGGCGACGCTTACCGTCTCCTATATTTATATTTTAACAACTGCAGTCCAAAAAATAAGAAAAAATCATTTTATTACACATTTTTTTGGTTACTTTACGTGTAGAATTCAACTCTCTTTCGACGAAACTCAATTGTAGTCAACCTGACATCAATTTTGTCTTTTTTCTAATAGCACATTTTACCTTTGCTAAAAATTTTTCAATATATTTGAGAAAAATTTTCGCTGCTATCTAAATTAAATAATAGTTGAATACTATCAGATATCTAAAGAAGTGCTATATAACAAAAGCTTTAAAACGTTTTCTATATAAGTTTTTATGCGTATACTTACAAGTAAAAAGTGTTTAGCCCGATAAAATCTAGCAAATATCACTTATATTTTAACAAATGCAGTCAGGAAAAAAAAAATCATTTTATTACAACTTTTTTTGGTTACTTTACGTGTAGAATTTAATTCTTTTCGACAAAACTCGATTGTAGTCAACCTGACATCCATTCTGTTATGTTTCTAATAGCACATTTTACCTTTGCTAAAAATTTTTCAATATGTTTGAGTAAAATTTTCGCTGCTATCTAAATTAAATAATAGTTGAATACTATCAGATATGTAAAGAAGTGCTATATAACAAAAGCTATAAAACGTTTTC